AACCCCAAATTACTGTCATGATTTGCATACCACAGGATCTCCATGTTCTGTGAGACATCTCCCACATTATAAAAGTCCTGAGGAGATACTTGTCCTGCACCTTATGGGCATAAGGTGCAAAAACCTTACATTTTGCAATTAAGATCTAGTTGACCGTGCATACATCTACAGTTTTCCATTTTTTCTCTGTTACATAACTGTACACATCATGACTGGTTAAATGTCTCCAGGTGAGACAGGAAGAACTCCATCTCTTCTCTCTTCATGGATTTTCCATCTGGCATTTCTTTCTGCAGAACTGCATCTGAGTAACGGTGGCACATTGACAGCTGTCAGCACATCACTAATGAGGAAACTTTACCTCACCTGCCTCGTCGAGCGCTGACAAGATACCAGCCTGTGTTTGTGTTCGTGAGAAATGGAGCCCTCAGACACAAATGCAGTCTCTTTAGAGGGGCTCACATAAGTAAACCACTTTAATATTGTGGACACCTTGTAGTTTTAACAGGTCTCAGAATGTAACACATCAGAGCTGATCTTCTTCATGGTCATCTCTGTACAGTCAAACTTCATCATATACAGTTATAGTCACTCTGGTTCCCTGCTTTGGTCATAGGAACAAGCAGTTTGCTCTTAGCATCAGAGTCAGATACTTTTCAGCTCTCTTTTTCTTTGCTTGTTTTCTCTTTTTTCTTTCTCAACAGGTGATCCAGGTGATTGATATATGTAATTTTTGTCTGTTTGTTTTGTTGGTTTTTGGTTTTTGCCCTTTATCACTGTCCCTCTTCCCCGCTCAATAAAAACAAAGGTGAATCAAATAGACCAATACGGCAAGGCTGGGACGGTCCATTTGGTAAAGTAAATCCGTTGGGCATCTTTCTTTGCCTTTAGACAATAATTCTGATGGCAAAAGAACCAAATGGGACAGGCAAAGAAAAAAAAAAGGATTCGGTTCTTTTTTTAATAATAATTAAATTAATTAATAATTATGGTAAATGGACTGATTCTTATATAGCGCTTTTCTACTCTCCCGGAGTATAAAAGCGCTCTATACAACATGCCTCATTCACCCATTCACACCCACTCAAACCAACACTTCTAAACTCAAGTGCAAACTAAACTACATTCACACACATTCATACTCCGATGAACGCATCGGAGGGCAACTTGGGGTTAGTATCTTGCCCAAGGATATTTGGCATGCAGACTGGGGAAGCCAAGGATCGAACCACCAACCTTCCGATTAGTAGCCACAGGTGGTAGAGCAGATCACTTTAGAGCAACTGTCAATCAGAATAGTAACAGACTGAACTAAATTAAACAATTTATTACAAAGTTTACAAATGATAAGAAATAGCTTCAACACATATAATTACCTTAATTATAAATATCCAGAATTTAACGGAGATGAAATATATGTGATTGACATTTTACTCTAACCTGTAAATATTTGTTATTTCTTATTTTCAGTGTAGAGCATGTGGAAAAAGGTGTAACTATTGCACAGTGCATTAGATGGATGAGTTGTACAGGCAGAAATGACTTCCTGTGTCATTCAGTGGTGCATTTGGGTAATCTCTGTCTCTCACTGAGCGTGCTCCTGTGATTGGGCAGCACGTCATGGAGTGAGTGGGAGGTATTGTCCAGCATTGTCCGTATGTTGGACAACATCTGCCTCTCCGACATCACCTTAGGGGAGTCCAGCTGCGTCCCTACAACATTACTGGCTTCGCAGATCAGTTTATTGAGTGCTTTAGTCCTACCAAAGGAAATAAATATAAATGATCTTAGTTGCAGAGATGCATTGACTTGTGATTTTGATTACTGTTTAGATCATTTGTAAGGAACAGGAGAAAAAAAGAGTCTGCAAAGGCAGTGTGCAATATTGTATGTGTGTGCATATAGCCTCAACTAATTTCCAACACCAGTCTAGTTGGTCATAAACATGTATAGCTGATAAATGAATGTTAAAAAAACAACTCTCCCCAGCAAGTTGAGTAATCTGCACTTTGCTCTGGATTATTATCCTGGATCTGTATATGTAAATACTGCATTAGTTACTGCTGTTCATTGTCTCTGTCAGTGTGGTCCTGTTATTGCTCGTGGCCATTACTTCCAAATGCATGTCTGTCTTGTAACAGATCTAGTCGTGTGAGAGATACTCTGAACACATTGTGTAACAAACACTTTAGTAAAATGTTATTTGTATCAAATACTGGTATCAATCACACTGGTTACTGCTACAACTACACATGTTTCTTTTCCAGCTATTTATTAATGAGTGACTTTGTATATATATATATATGTATATATTGTACTATTCTTAGTTAGCGTATTGTCTGTCTTGTTAATGTTGGCTTATAATGGAGCACTGTAACAAAAAAATAATTTCCCCCAGGGATCAATAAAGTATTCTGATTCTGATTCTGATACACCAGCAATTAACTGTGACATTTGTTCATTCAGCAGCAAATTCAGAATCAGATAAGTCAAATAACAGAGGTGGTTACAGTAAGTGTGGCTGAAAGTAAACATTAGCGTTTGGCTAACAGTAGCTAATAAGTTATTTAAACATGGCATTTCATCATTACATGATATTTCAATGTGAACATGGCAGAAGAGGTTCTAATCTGTTATCTTGCTCTGTGTTCAGTTCAGGAAGTGTCTTATCCAGCACTTCACCGGCGTGGGGACGATCCCTGATAGCAACCTGAATCAGACCTCTGATCGACCTGGAATCACTGCCGAGAGTCACACGGGAGAGATGTCAGCTATTGCTGCCCACATCCCCGTGGGCAGCACCACGTCACCCAGATCGGACTTCAGATCTGATTCTCCAACCGATTGCGGCTCATTTGCTCAGCTTCCCATTCCAGAGAACAAAGTCTGCCCAATGTAACAATAGGCTTTACCCCGATAGGTGTTCTCTTTCCCTGAGCGTGAATAGACACCCTTCTGTAGATGCCCCACCCTCACCCTGTGTTTCAAGGACAATTAAGGGTTAGCAAAAAGTAAAAAATTTTATGGTCCAAAGTATTCTGGTAGATGTTCAGTTTATTATTGAAAAAAAAAAAGACTTGGGGGAAAGAACTGTAGAGACTGAACTGCTCAGAGCTTTACCCTGTAGATATCCTGTAAATATTTGCTCACCAGTGCTCCTCTGTCCTGTATTTCAAGAATGTCTTGGATGTTCTCTTGACCATCACGGCACAATGGAGGGCACTTGATTCAACGCGATTCATTCATATCCCAATGAAAAAAAAAGGGACTGCGAAACCCACAGACCTTGACATCCGTTAGTTGAGGGCTAGCCAGTGTGTTTCAAATATCACAATGCACCCAGCCTTTCATCTTGTCCTCGCCTTCTCCTTTGAAGCCCCATGATGGTGCCTGCAGAGAAAGCGTGTTTTTCTATGCTGTTTCAGTATTTGCTTTGGCAGCAATTTTGATTCATCTCTGTCCGTCAAAAGGACGGAGGAGTCTGCTGAATTTGAATATTTTTTTTTTTGTATCCCGCGTAAACTGGTTTGGGTCAAAGCTTTTATCTTTTTTGAAGATGGTCAAGAGGGCTTAGAGATGCCAGTCTCCCGTTCCCTCTGTTGCAGATATAGGAGGACAGCATATTAATAAGGTGCCAGCAGTGGATCACCACATACATGCACACACTACAGTCCAATGCTTTGATGTAAGCTCTCTATAGGAACTGTGAAGAAATGCATCAATAATTATCACTAGCACACAAGTGGGTTTGCTAGTTAGCCATGTATAAAAGCAATGAGTATTCCATCACAATCACACTTCAGCAGCAATATTGAAGCTAAATACCGTCACTTCAGCACTTCAGCAGTAGCTACAAGTAGATGTAGCAATCAGTGTTACAATATGTCTTCTACTTTGTGGTGCATGTTCATTCATTATTACTGGGTATCTGTCAAAAACACCGTCGTATGCTAAGCAGTGATTCACCAGGTACGGTGTTTGTTTACAAAGTGTGTTTCAGTCATGTCTGGCCGGGAGTAAAATCCAGCATTTTTAAGCACCAGTGCATCTGTGTCAAGTTAACTGTGACACCAACAACAGACTATTTTAAAGAGAACTGTCAAATTAGCTTCTGTCCTGTCCCGGAGAAGTTTGTCACAGATTGAATCGCTTCAATGACTGTTCCTGCTTTGTTGTCGGGTCCAGAAACTTTAGATACGTGTCTTTGGAACCTAAACCTGCATTAATCAATATGTTTTGTGTCAACAGTGAATAAACTATGTGTGTTGTGAAAGGGTTACTGTTCGAAAAAACACTGAAGACCTGAGTTCTTTTTTAGCTCGTTTAGCTTGTAGGTTCATTTTGAAAGCAGCAAACTCTCACTGTGGTTCAATTTTAGAAACGGGTTGCAGATTTCAGAAAAGGTCATTTAACCACCTCTATGCTACCTGGGCAGGAATGTGCAAGACTTCTTTATGAAAATTACTAAAGGAGTCTTATACTTCTGCACCTGTGGCATTTTTTATTCATTCCATATTTAGTGATGAGTCGAAAAAATCCTGTAATGTATACAAATTATGTACAGACAATGTGCGTTAAACATGATGTGAAAGAAACGCAAACAGAACATAACACAGGGGGAAGTTTTGTTCAGATTAGTCCACCCATTAAGAAGAAGACGGGGTACATTCATGCATGCGCTACGATCATTATAGTAAAGATTATCTCCGAGAAAAACAACTGGCAATTTTTGTGGATAGTTTTTGTCAGAACTTTTCACTAACATCACGCTCATGGATCAGGAATTTTCACGCAAATTTCCTTTGCCTTACATTTCTAATGCTTTAGCTAGTTTAGACCATTTGAGTCAAGTGGAGATGTACACGTGTGTATTTAAAAGCCTACTTTTAAACTTGTAATCTGACAAAAAGGAATCTACCAAATACCTCCACAAGTCATCGCTAAGTCACAAGTACTGTCACCAATTTTGGGGCCAGTCAAATATTAAACAGCAACAAGGACCTCATCAAGAAACCTACAGAAGTGTAGTTACAGTAAAAACTAGTTCTGTATCAGCACAAAGGGAAAGCCCACTAAAGAAGCAATGACCTCTTCTCTAAAACTTGAAAGCCTTAAAGCAGTTTACAACAGCACGTGGGGCTAAAAGAATATTATTCTTTGGAGGTAATTGGAGCTGAGCCCCCCTGAAAATTTGAATCTAGAATCGCCCCTGGATCGTCCGTTAATGACAATGCAGCATCAACCGCTCAGCAGCTCCGCTACCATCGATGGTAGTCAAAAATCCCAACTTTGTGTTTAAGTGTCAACACTCACTGTTACCAGTCGGCACCCTTAAGCATTCTTTTAACGTTTCTCTAAGTCGTGCCACTACTGACACGCATACACAAGCTTCAGCAGCGGTGGATACAGCAGATGTGTATCGTGGCTTCACCTTGACGATCCGACAGGATATAAATCAAACAAACCTGCCAGTGTTACATTTTGGTGAAAAGGATTACAGACTGCACTGAATGCTGATGAGGGGAAGGGATACTTCGGACGGTCGTAGGTGGGTTAAAGCACCTGTTTCTCACCTCTTTACAGTGAGTTGTGTAATACTTATAAGGCATGGCAAGACTTGTTCAGCTGTTTGTTTTTTGTCTCATGAGTACTATTGTATATGTCATTAGATGCACTGTGGTTGTAAAAATGTGTGTATTAAAGTATATATCTATTTTTTAAAAAGCCATAATCTAGTGTTGATTCTTTTTTGCCCTGATAAAAATAATCCTAAAAATGTGAACTATTCTGAGGGTGTGATTAACAGCTTTGGATGAGATGCATTTCCTGTGCTTTAATTAACACCACAGACTTTGATAGAGCACAGAGATCCTTCCCCACATGTGATGCATCCCCAAAAAATGCAGTTGAGAACCATCAGCTACAAAGAAAAAGTAAAACATGAATTAAGCATCGTATCAGGAAATATAAACAGACAGTCCTCTGAGGTCTTTAATACTTTCAGAATACTTTATGTTTGGTTTTTGTTTTAAGGCTCTAAAAAAGATAATTATCACAGATGATGAGCTTCATGGGGTTGATGAGACAATAAGATAATACAAAACAGGAATCCAGAATTCAAGCACTTAAAGTACGTCGAGACGACTATAGTGACTCAGATGGCCGATTGCAGAGGAAGACACAGGTGGGAACGGCAAAGCTGAACACAATCAAGGCATAATTAAAAAAAAAAAAAAAATAGGAAGCAAAAAGAAGACAGATTGAGTCTACTGTTGAATAACAGCGGAAAACAAATAATGTTGAAAAAAAGAAGAATGTTGCAGAACACTGTTGATCTGGTGACCTGATCATGACAAGCAACACTAAGCAGAAAAACAACACAGATTCTCTCAAACTCATATTTATTTTCTCATTATTGTTTTTGCCATCAGAAAATCTGAAACGACATAATTACACATTAAATGCAACTTGTGTTCATGTCTGACACTCTCACAGTCCAATAAAGGAGACGTGAAAATTACTTACATACAAATTGCAGTGACCACGTGACACATAGCTGCACACTGCTGTAAGTTTACAGCTGGACAAGTTGCAGGTAAAATTTATTCCTGCAGCAGACAGTCTCCCTTAAAGTGCACGGTCAAGAGCACAGCCTAATAAAAACATCATGCTTCCAGATGATTTGTGTGTGTAACCTCGTCATATTTTTGAAATATTATAGTTTTCACTTCCCCAGCCTGATTTGCAGGGTGAGCAAAGCCAGTTAACAAAAAAGATATTCTGAGTATGTTAAAGTTGCTTCATACCGTGTCTAGGAAACGAAGGGAACACCAGAAAAATATGAACACAATATAATATCAGCAAAATCACAACAGGGACCAACACTCCACAAATACCTAACATGGAGCCATGACTTCTCACTGGTTATTCTCTCTTTGGGCTCATTTTTTGGAGGTTATGCACACTCTCTCCCTCATCACACAGATTACAACTGACAGTAAACAGTATAAACTTGCAAACTGCCTTTTAGATGGATGCAACACTCTAATAAAATCTGCTATTTAACAGTCAATAGGTTGGACTAAAATAATGAGCGAGCTTGATGTTTTCTGTGGTTGGATTTTAAATAGCATACAAATATAATTTGCCATCGGATTGGCACAGGGATGTGCACATAATTCTGAGTAAGCTCAACAAGTTACATATTATAACACATAATCCATCAAGTCCAAGCACACAAAACCAGAATGCATGGCACATTTTACAGACTAGCAGGAACTTTACGGCTTGGCTTTCAGTAACAAACGGCATCTTCTTGAGCTTCAAGGAAGAAAAAGGTCTAGTAAGAATTATTATTGTTATTTGACTATCTGGGCAGAATAATTAGTACTTGTGGTGTGTTTTTAATTTACACTCCACTGAGCTTTTTTGTACACTCTCCACTTTCCAGGCTGTAATGGATGGAGAGGATGGAGGATAGAGAAACACAGTGTGTACATAGTTCTTCAGTCTGAGATCTAAATAGCACAACATAAAGCTACACAAAGAGTCAAAAGGGTCTCTCGTGTTAGAAAAAAGGTTTTCTGTCTTCCTTCTCTTTCTATCTTACCTGTCTTCTAAATGGTTGCTTACAAGGTCCTGTCTGCTTTCCACGCAGAAGAAATCAATATTTGGAGCACATGCATGCTGTACAACCAGAGCAACACATCACAGACTGTATAAACTAACCTATCAGGAAGGAGCGGGAATTTGTTCAGACCCCATTA